CCTTCAAAAGTCTACTGCTGAACATATACCTTCACCGTAGATAGCGCTGCATTCACCCACCCGTCTTTCAAGTGTGGTAACAGTGGAAAATATCCCACCTATCTTTTTAATTTATTAGATAAAAGCTATCAAGTAATCAATAATACGTTCTGAATGGTAATCACAAATGTATTTGTATATTTTTTTATTTTATATTTTTCAAAGAAATTGAGCGAAAAATAAACAAAAATTATTTTAACACTGAAAAACCATTAGTCTGTGTGTGACAGCCGGCACACGAGGCTTAACGTCGTACGATTTGCTCTGAAGAAAGTGAGGAGATATGCAAATACCTGATAAAGTGTTGAATATATTTGTGATTTATTATGTCAACAAATAATTTTGTAAGATCGGGTTATATTTTCACGAAAGTTTATAGATGAAGTCTTCTACTTTCTTTAACGTACTATAAAATTGGAATTATCTCATCTTAGACTTAACAGCATGCATGCCGGTTAGGGGATAGATGACGTTCGTATTAACAGTACACGTTACGAGGACTATACGGTGCTATTCAGATGATACTTAAAGATATGTTGAGAGAACGTGAGGTCTAGAATATTGAGCTAGGGCTCTATACACAATATACATACTTCTACATATTACTACAAATTCAGGAGATATGTGGGTCAAATATATCGAAAAAATCGCTGGGCAAAATATTTTCTGTGGCCTATACCTATGTTTTGAGTGTACTAAACGTAATGTTAACAATTGGTAAAATTAAAAATGTTTTACAACCGACTTCAAAATAAATAAAATGAGAACATCATCAAGGTAGTCGAAGTCAACTAAATACACATTATTTAAGATAACTCAAAAACTACTAGCCAAATCTTGAATACATTTTTATGGGACCATATAAGCATCGGTTCACCTAGAAAAATGTTTTGAGGTAACACACATAAAAACATACATTCGTATTAGGTACCTCCTCTTTTTTTGAAGTCGGTTAAAAACAAAAGTCATCGCCCTATCAATGAAACAAGTTTGTGTAGCCTAGCAGCTTTTGAACTTCTCACGCAATCAACATCATGAGTTTAAATAAAAGTAGTCCGAAAACGATATTTTGATTTTCTGTTCACTCTCTCCTATAAATCTCGCGCAAAAAAGCCATATTATATTACAAACAACTCTTTCAGTATCTACTTCCTGGGATCATCTTATCATTCCAGTCAAAGATTGAAGAAGAATAAGACAAAAGTTATGACCCCTATATAGGCGAACACTACACTACACATTTTAAATCGGAATGTAAAAATAAGTCAAATTAAACGCAATAAAATCCATAATAATGGTTTTATTCAAGACACAAGTTTCAATATATTATAATATGTTAATTATTATACCACCGGTGTAAAAATATCTACTACCTCATATCGTCCCGTCGGTGTCGTCTTTTAAAAAATAAAAATATAAAAACTGTGGTTGCCAGGAGTGGCAACAGTGACAAATATTTCCTTTGTAGGACAATCTATGGGGAAAACCCATGTTCAGCTATGGAATTTAAATTATTAACATGTATTAATTGTTTAATTGAATTATTAGATACTAATGTTAACTGCAGTATGGTGACGGCATCAAAAAATCAATAAATTCTCTTTGTTTCTAGGGGGTCGTAGCAGGTCTAGATATATTCTAAGGCAATATTAGAACTTTCATCCGTTATATTTATTGCGGCGTAAATACATAATTTTTACTTCTTAAAGAGCATTGACAGTTCAGGGTTCGCCACCGAATCTAACGAAAAGAAAATATTTCTAATTTATCACACCTTAATTTTGTCAACAGTTCACGGTTGGAAATCGGCTTCAAAAAACTAAATATTTTGTGTTTTTTTTCCATCTTCCTACCATTGTCAGCAGACTCTCTCATGTCTATGGGAAATCCCAGAATGGTATATAGATGGTGGTATAAATATTTATTTTACACCTATTCGAAATTTAAAATATTATCTCGACTTTCCTACATGCAATTTGCCTTACGATATTTTCTCAGGCCGCACTACAAGCGGCGTCGACAATTACCATTAGGTAGGCTGTATGCTCGCTTTTCACCCTAATTCTATAAAAAAAAACCTAAAATTGCAATTCACATTTTCGTTTGTACTAGCTGCGTTAAAGAGTAAAAGTAAGTAAAGTTACAGCCTATATACGTCCCACTGCTGGGCTCAGGCCTCCCCTCATTTCTGAGAGGGTTTAGGGCGAGGAAGTGTCCGCCGCGCTGCCCAAATGCGTGTTGACGAACTTCACATGTCTTCGAAATATTTTTTTTCTTATTCCTCAGACATGCAGGTTTCCTCACGATGTTTTCCTTCACCGCCGAGCACGTGGTAAATCAGCACTTAAAATTGCAATTAACAATTTCATCGGTGCCGGCGGGGATCGAACCCGGGTTACTCGCGTTCTGTTATATTTACAGCGAGCGTTAACCACTGAGCTACCACGGCTCAGTGGCTCATTAAAGAGTAACCTAAGTTATATTCTATTACAGCCTATAAAAGTCCACTGCTGAACATATTCAATAGATTGCCTCAAAGGGAGGATTATGCTATTCTTTGGCAACCGCTTGGCAACTCAAAATAATAAAAAAAAATTAGAGTTTAAAATAGTGTGTAAATATAGAGTTTAGTAATAAAAGAAATTAGAGAGTAGTTATAACGAAGCTGCCGACCATCTGCTGTTAAAGTTTACCTCTGTCGACCCTTAAGATACGCCCGGGACAATATGGGATAGTTGATATTCTTACACCGTCGCTAAACGGTTACTTAATTAAGTTCGTTGTTGAGAATTATTGTTGTATTTTTTAAATTTTCTTTCAGAACTACATTCTGATGTATTTATTTATTGATATCAATCCCAAATCATCTCGCGAGTGTAGTAAGAGGCGACAGATGAAAACAGATCAGGAGATGCTTGACGCTTACCACGTGGCAGCTATGGCAAATATCTCCCCTATGAGGCAATCTATGGGGGGGGGGGGGGGGGCATGTAGAGCAATGGAGTTTAACAAGCTGTAGGGTTGTTAATTATCGCTATTTAACATAAAGAAACTAATCTAAGCTACTAGCATGTAATAAACTGGTACTGCTGTAAGTTTGAAATACGGGCATCATCCCTTATTCTGCAGAGCGCGACTGTGACACTAAGTTAATTGGTTTGCATCTTCTATTGGCACAAATATTTAAATGACAAATTAGTTGAAGATCACCAGTGTACTTGTATAAATATTTTAATGTTTCGGAGTTCTTCACTTAAATATTTACCACAGATTTTTAATACATACAAGTTCACGATTTTACGTACTATAAAACTTTGCTCTGTTGTAGTAACACATATATAATCCAAGGCCATATTAGAACATTCATCTGTTATATGTATTGTGGCGTAAATACGTCCTTTTTACTTCGTAAACAGTGAACAATCCAGGGTTCGACACCGAACCCAACGAAAAAAAAATATTTCTTATTTGTCACACCTTATTTTTTGTCAACAGTCCACATAAGTCCACACAGTCCATAAAACACCGGACTCAAAAACTAAATATTTTGTCTTTTTTACATATTCTTACTCCGTCGTCAGCAGGCTCTCTAACTCTCTCTCTTTCTCTCATACTCTTTCTGCAGCCAGTTTCTATCAAAAAGGCCACATATCTATTTTGACGACCAAAGTAAAATTCCTCGTAATCTGTAATTATAATGTCCTCCACACCGAATTTCGGTCACGGCGGCCTGCCTCAACGGAGGCTAGCCATCGGCGCAGGGCAGGATTATAGTGCCCAAGTGTATGCGCAAGCACACGTGTACTCTCTATTCCCTCACTCTCATAATCCCATAAGACGGTAAACCGACACGACCGGAGAGAGATCAGGCGCAGGACCAACGGCTTTACGTGCTTTCCAAGGCACGGGGGTAAGACACCGCCAACTTCCTGACTCCGGGCAGCTACTGAGAATTTCTTGACGGAAAAACTCAATAATTGATTTTGTTGGCCCGACCTGGGATTCGAACCCAGGACCTCATGATCAGCAGTCGTACTACTACAACCACTAGATCAACGAGGCAGTCAATCTATAATTATATTATACTGGCTTTAATTATATTATACGATTCCGACCAGAATACAGCAGTAAGTGTAGGTACTGCAGTACGGCAAAAAAATAGATAAGTTGGTGGTACGAATCCAGAAGGACTGCAGCCAAGTAAAAGGTTCTATTACGTCGCAAAGATAACATATATTATTTTATTATATGCAACATTGATAAGTGTTATCGAGTGGCAGCACCGGTAAGCGCAGCGTAGGGCGGCTTCCTAGTAGAAGACATGCAGGACATGTATGGATACAGGTGGCTTAGGACTTCGTTGTGAGGCGTTCGTTACGGAAGGCCAATTTTAATTAGTGGATTCGTAAAGGGCTGCAATTATGATTAATAATTGTTAAAAATTTTAGAATATTTACCATGCTACTCGAATAGGTATTATATTGTCATATAAATCATGTCATGTCAGTAAACGATTTGTTTGATGTCATTTAAATTTCCTTTATTTACTTATCATGCAACAATTATTATACCTTAATATATAAAACTTTATGTTTGTTCGTATTTTATGCACCGTACCGTTCATAAGATTTTGGTAAAATTTTGTCAACTTATTGCTTGCACTTGCGCTAAGGTTAGGTTTCTTTCTTATATCTATAGTTATAGTACACCTTAAAGTAGGTGGCGAGCGTACCAGCTAGTATTAAAAAAATAAAAGCCAAGAACTTATTTTGTAACATAACTGTTCTTCGAAGAAATGTCAAGAACGCTCTAAAATGAAACGCGAAACGATTCTATTTTCTATTCTATTTTATTCGATATAGTATTTGGGTAAAAACCAGACCTCTTGCCACAAGCGGCGGTAATTATTAAAAAAGGAAATAGGGAAACAACGCAGTTGCTTTGAACGCAATAATGCTTACCTCAAATTGGCTTGTGATAGGGTTCATATCCAATAGTGAGTATGAAGCCACTCGATCGCCGTTTGCATCGATTATTACTTCGCCCGTGATACCTTATAAAAAACATTATATTGTTATCATTTGATGATTAAGTAATAGTAAAGTTATAATAACTTAATTTACCGTTATAGCCTATTAAGGTCCACTGCTGAAAGTAGGTCTCCCCATAGGTTGTCTCATAGGAGGGATATATGCCATAGTTGCCACTTGCCACACTTGGAAACGGGTTGACAACCTCAGTTTTTTATTTTTAGTCATTATTAGGAACATGCCTTGCACCGAATTTGCTAAAGACTATCTAAAAGTATAAGACTATCTTACACATACATAAAAATTGTAACGGTTTTTAACGAAAGCTTCCAAAACCTGGTTATACATTTACACCCTATGATATAAGTTCCGCTACTGGACACTTCCGAGGAAGTTATGAAGAAATTAGTCCGCCCCATTTCTCCAATATGTGTTAACGGACTTCATACGTCTACGATACATTTTTAATTCACAATAGTCATGTAGTTATGTTACGATGTTTCCCTTTACGATATTTTTTTATCTATAATAGTCATGAAGTTTCCTTACAATGTCAAACACGAGGCCACAGTTAATATTGCCCGACACACGTTGCGCGCGTAGAAATTTGAGGCAAAAGCTCTGCACCTTATTTACCATGAATCAGAAATACCAATAATTTGAACGGGGATATCCACATTAAAGATAATCTCAGGGCGTGACTTAACTGCAGTCTTACAATATTGCTTAACATTTTACACGTGACGAATGGGTCGGTTCGACCGGGGTAGGACCACGCTCTCACAGAATACCAGCGTAAAATAGCAGATTAGTGTTGCTGTATTTCGTATGGTAAGTGTAGAGAACCGGAGAACCTTTTTACTGGAAACAGGGCATTGCATCTTAATCGTCAGTGGTGACAACTCATTTTTATTTTGACCCTTAATTGAGGATAAATGTGGATATCTATGGGCCACAGCGTTCACTTACCATCAGGTGGACTGTATGCTCGTTTGTCTAATCATCATCATCATCATCATTACAGCCCTTCACAAGTCCACTGCTGAACATAGGCCTCCCCCAAGTAATGCCACAAAGCACGGTCCTGAGCCACCTGCATCCATCGACTTCCTGCATGTCTTACCAGGTCGTCACTCCATCTAGTGGGGGGTCGCCCTACACTACGCCTACCCGTACGAGGCTGCCACTCGAGAACCTTTCTTCTCCATCGGTTATCGGTTCTTCGAGCTATATGGCCGGCCCACTGCCACTTCAGCTTACTAATCCGTTGGGCTATGTCGGTCACTCTGGTTTTACTGCGGATATCCTCATTTCTGAGTCTATCACGCAGAGAAACTCCGAGCATAGCCCTCTCCATGTTTGTCTAATACGATAAAAAAATTACAGACTGTGAGGCAATCGAGTGCCAACGTATCTGTGGCATTCCCTGTATGAAATCGGCCGTTCATGGACTGCAGTATCCACTAACCATCAGGTATTAGTTCTGTAAGGTCTATTTTATAAGTTTAAAATGTTTTTTTTTAATCTCAAGAAAATCTTATAGTTTCTATCTATTGGACAGTATATCCACCAGACGTAAAGTATAAAACCTGCGAAGGGCAGAAGAAGCTGGTGACGACTAACGCAAATCCTTATATCGGAAGAGGCCCATCTACAGCAGGCGATTTACTATAGATTGAAGATGCGTAGTAGGTAATGGTGATTTAAAGAGAATGTTCACGTTATTCACTATTCTTCCTAGAACGCTTTTTGTATAAAAGACGTGTTACATATAAATATGTGCCTAAATTGCGGTTGTTTGTTCGTACAACATCTACGCTTCAAGAATAGTTTGATATAATGCATTTTCTGGTTCTTTCTTCCACGCGTTGTAAGGTTTTATCTCAGAGCTAATATTGCAATTTTCAGGTGAAAGCTACCAACCGTGAAATGATTGATTATTTTTTTCGTACTACTGCATTCATAATTTGTTTGTATTGTATTAACTGACGTTTGACAAATCATCCTTTAGGATTAGGATGCTTTGTTATTTAAAATAGCGAGACTTATAAGTATGAATTTCGCACAAAAATTGTGTGTGTGTTTGTGTGTATGTGTTTTATTATAAGTAAAGTAGACAAACGAGCAACCAGTTTACATGATTGTTAATAGACGCTAGTTAAGATTAAGGTCTTTACTCGGTTAAAAAATCAAAATTCTCATGAATTGATTCACTGGAACTACGAAGAGATGTTGCATCTCTTTGCGTATTTTTCTTTTATAGTATAGGATGACAAACGAGCACATAGTCCACCTGATGGTAAGTGGTTGCTGTGGCCCATAGATATCTACATTTATCCTCGATTACGAATCAAAATGCAGATACGTTATCATCCGTGAGGACTTAGATGAAATGCCTCGTTTCCAGTAAAAAGTGTCTCCGGTTCTCTACACTCACCATACGATACACAGCAGCATTAAGCTACTATTTGACGCTGGTATTCTGTGAGAGCGTGGTCCTTCCCCGGTCGAGCCGACCCATTCGTGCTACGACTATACTACTAATATAACTGCAGCATGACTCTACCACGCATCTACAACGAGAAGTATTCTGAGGAATTATTCGAAGTAATTCCAGTCGTCCGTCAGTTTGCGTCGAAAGAGCATTTATACCATCTGGATGATTGGCAGTCCACCACTGTGCGAAGTTTTCTTCCTCGCACAACTTCCTTGTGGAATCGATAACCACCAGTGATTTTTCCGAACCGATAGGACTTAGGGACCTTCAAGAAAAGAGCCTACTCGTTTTGAAAAGGCCGATAAACGCGCCTGCGATTCCCCTATTATTGCAGTTGCTCGTGGGCGGCCTACGTCACTTACCATCAGGTGCGCCGCATGCTCGTCTGCCCTATCTTCTATATAAAATAAAATATCATCATTACATGTCAAAAGTATACTTTCGAATCCAGGCCTCACTATTAGATTGCCTTTTCTTTATGGGATATTTTCCATGTTGCCACGTTTAACAGGTTGTTTGGCGGCGCCCAATTAATTATTTTGTTTATTTTTTTAATACAGAAGATGAGGCATGCGGCTCACCTGATTAAATAACTACTGCCGCCCATGAACAGCAGCAACACCGGGGGAACTGCAGGTGCTTTGTCGGCCTTTTAGAAAGGAGTAAGCTCTTTTCTTGAAGATTCGGAAGTCGTATCGGTCCGGAAAAATCGCCGGTGGTAAACAATTCCACAGAGAAGTTGTACGAGAAAGAAACTCCTAGTAAAATGCACAGTGGTAGACCGCGAAGCACCCAGATGGTGAGGATGGTATTGTAAATTTTGCCGCGATATGCGTTCGTAAAATTTGACGGCTGGAATTAATCCGAACAATTCCTCAGAACATTCCCCGTGGTACATGCGATAGAAAACGCGAAGGGATGCAAAACCACTACGATGTGCCAGTGAATCGAGCTGATCAGAAAGAACTCGGTCATCGATGATTCAAACCGCACTATGCTGGATGCGTTCAAGTAGTAGGAGCTAGCACTGGTGTGCCCCGGCCCAGAGATGAGAACAGTATTCCAAGTGAGGCCGAACTTACGCTTTGTAAAGTTACAAGCGATGTTCCGGCATGAAATACTGTCTCGCTCTGCTGAGCACACCAAGCTTATTAGGGATCAATTTGGCCTTCCCTTCTAAGTGACCACGAAACTGCACATTATTCGATATGTCGACGCCGAGGATTCCGATGCTAGCTGGGGCAGCAAGGGGAGTGCCTTGAAAATGAGGAGATACGACAAAGGGGTTATTTTTAGCGGTAAACGCGCAAACTTGTGTATTCTGGGGATTGAATTGGACTAGATTTAGTCACCCCCAATCCGAAAATTTGCTCAGAAAAGACTCGACTTCAGACACAAATTTGTCCCGGTACTCGGCGACGTTTTTCCGAGAAATATTGGCACGGCCAGTGTATAATACATCACCAGTGACGTCGTCTGCATAGCAATCAATGTTACCAGTTTGCAACATATCCAGCGATAATATGCTTGTAATCGGAGCATGCATCGTCTACTACAACGATGATTCGCCGATCATTAAGAAAACTAGTGATCCAATTGCACAATTTTTGGGGAGCCTATAGGAAGAGAGCTTCGAAAGAAGCGCATTGTACCAGACTTGATTGAAGGCCTTCGCTGTGTCCAAACTAATAGCCAATGTCTCCCCCTTGAACTCTACTGCCTTCGCCCATCTATAAGTCAGGTAGTCTGATGAATCAGAAGATCCTCAAGGTACAGGATGAACAGGCTGTTAGTAATGGACTCCATTATTTTAGAGAACAGGAAGGTGATGGCGATAGGCCTATAGTTGGACGAATTAGATCGGTTACCTTTTTTAGGGATTGGGTGCACGAAAGCTGTCTTCCATGATATTGGGGTTACGCCTAGGGAGTAGGAGTACTGGAACGGACGCGTTAAAATCGGTGCCCTCTTCAGAGCACACGTATTCACCACAATAGGATAGACGCCATCAGGCTCACTCGACTTGCTGACGTCCAGGGAGAGGAGTGTTTTGCGAACCGAGCGCTATATAAGCCGCACATCTGGCATGGAGGACACTTTTGAAGGACGTGGAGGCAGAATCATATTTTTTTTAAAGAGCGCTGGTGTTTACATGACTGATGCATCAGCCCAGACCCAGTAGCACTCCTGATAATAGCGTGATGTTACCAAACCATGGCTGGGATCTGCCTCCGATGGGCACCACGAGGATGGAATAAAAGGTTCCGTATCCTGAGGTACCACATCAGAGACAAAATCAACGATAGTCTGGCAAGAAGCAAAGTTGTTATCAGAAAGATAATGCCACCCATCTCCTGTATCATCTCCCTTTGTAATTTCTTATGACATCCACAGTGTCCACGACATGATATGGGGTAGAAGATTTCTTTTTGTATTGTTATACTTTGTAAGTTGATAAAATCTAATAAAAGTGACTGAATATTTTTTTCGACGAACGACGACGAATTGTATTTTTATGAATCTGTGTGAGCAATATTTATTCAGGTCAAACAAATATTGATACAAACAAAGTAATGACTACGATCTATTCATAACAAGGGAAAAATATTTTTAAATGTACTAAAATACTTCACCGTGTAGTCGCGACGAAATAAAATTCGTTATCCCATTATTAATAATAATTAAAAAACTACAGTAGCCAACCGTGGCAATTATGGCAAACATCCAGCCTCTGAGGCAATCTATAAAGGTGGTGGAAAACTATGTACAACAGTGGACTTTTGATGGTCTGAAATGAATGAAAGAATGAATAAACATTACTTAAACGGGTCGAGTAAGAAAAGATTACAAAGATTTGAGTTACGTATGTACGCTTATGTTATAAATTAGCTTTTACTATAGTAATAATATCAATCGTTATTGTTCTTTTGTGTATGTAATGACTAAATGAAGCGGTGCGCTCTACCTTGAAATGTTCTGTTCCACATATTGCGAATAACAGCGGCCCCATCCAACTGCCCTCTCGGGTCATCTGACTGACTCAAAGTATCATTCAAGGCGAGAGCGTATAATAGCACAGCGTCGTAGAATGCTGCTACGAAAGTTGAAACCATCTCCCCTTTTCCGAACGTATAATTGTACTTTGTTGCCGCCAGTTCCTTAACCTGCAAAACAAAATGATTGTAATAATGTTTTAAACGGAACAAAACATGGACGAATGTGAAGTTTCTGTAACCCATACTTTCAACTTTTTGATAATTATTTCGCTCGTATTCGTTTTTTAAATTCAGAAGCGAATTCATTGAAAACTCAATCAGGCTTCATTACGCGAACACACGTGAAACAAAATTTGTTTGAAGTGGATATCGTTGTTTGTTTTCGTGAATTGAAACATGAAAGAAAAATGTAATAGAACATACGAACTAAAATATAAACATATATCTACTCTATTTTAAAAGCAGACTCAAACTTAGACTGTATACTTAAAATGAGATATGTTAACGCTGAATGTGTAGTACTTTATGCTGTTTTATTGATGACAGCTGACAATGATTGAATGTGTAAGTCAACAAAATTTTATCAATATTTGATATTATATTGATGTTATTGATCTGATATATACAGATCCTCCATTTAGCATTAATACAACGTTCTTCATTTCCTTTGTGTATATAAGCCACGCATAAAAGCTTGGTTGACAGTTATACGGGGCCTCGTAAACAAGGTTAAAAAACCAATTTTTAATACACGACGGAAATATCATAATTAAGGAATTGACTTTGTTACAATTTTTGGTTGACCCTGATTCGAAACTGGCAGACACGCGATAATACGGAGATGATGATGATTCAGCAGCAGGGCATAGATTGGCCGATAGTGGGAATTAATTCTGACTTTAAATGATGACAAGACAATTTAGAGGAACACATTGTAACCATTTATTATTCATTAATAAGGGTTTTCTTTAGCATTGCAACTATAAGAGAGCGATCACCCCTACATCTTCGGTCGATAATGTCCCGCGGTTATCTACTCCTCTGACTTAACCAATATAGACTTTCTACAATCTTTAACGCTAGTAGGAATATATACAAATGAATGAAATCAACGTTAGCTCACAAGTTCAAGTTGAGATAATGTCATTCTCATTAAATATTAATCATTTTCTATTAGACTTAACGACTGTAGAATGTCAACGTGGCTAAACCTGCAGTACTGCTAAAAATGCTTCTATCGACACGTAACGTTTTAACGCTATCGGCAAACTTTCTGCGTGTGGTATTTTTCGTGGCGCATATCTTTAAGATAAATGATGATATGATCTCCAGACCGTAACAAGAAAGCTTCTGAGAGCAACAGTAGCCTCCTAGTTAAAGATAGGGAATGCGAAACTAAATATGTCGAGTCAGCTAACGCAATCATTTTAAGCTTTTTTTAATTCAAAGCAAATGAATTAGACCAATGTGGATCATTGAACATTAAATCATAATTGTATATCCGATTAAGATTTCGTTGAAGTCGATTCTATGCAAGCAAAACATTTCCATTTTCAATATATTATTAATTCAACCAAAAAACAAGCATCTCCCTCCCTACCTCCCTCCATTGCGTGCAGTATCACCGAATGCTATTTTTCCGGAAGTACATTTTGTATCGTCGACGGTGTTGTGTCTTTACTATTGAAGTGGTGTTGAAATCGGTTGCGATGGTGCACACTATTACAACCAATTCTAACACCAATAATGAGGGAGGGGGGGGGGGGATGCTCTTCAAACTAGGTACGACCTATAATTTTTTCACACGGATTTCAGCTAATAATATAATACACCTGTGAATTTTTTAAATTATTAGTTGAAGTTTAATTTTATACATCTATGAATTACCAAAAATTAACACCCGATTTTATTAATAAACCAAAAACTCTAGTAATCGTACCTTGTCGGAAAATTCCAAATACTCTTTTTTCTCTGGTGCTGGACTTGTGACAGTAAGGACCGCACTGTAAGCTCTCCTCGCTCTTTCATTTCTCTCGTCTGTATCTCCTTCTATCTTCCACGGCTCTTTCGATGATGCTGATGCTAAGCTGTTGAATATCGAGTAAATTATAAAGCAGGGATTGGAAACGTTCCAATAATACTGGCGGCTCCAATTGATGGTTCCGTGGCGCAGTGTCTTAGCAATGAGTTGCAGCGCTGTGGGCCGCAGATTCCAATCCCTCACGGAACAAGTATGGCCTACAAGAAATTGTTACGGGTCTGGATGTTTTTCCTCTTGCTCCACGATATAGAAGAAAATCCTAGTATGAGGGTAACATTTAAAAACTACCAGTAATGCAGGGTATTTGGAACTTTTTTTTTATGAAAACTTTCTACTCAGTAATCCTTATAAATAATAGTACTTTTTAAGGATTTTATCGCGTATATTTAACTTTTTAAATACCCGACGTTTCGAGCGCTTTACATTACAGCAACCATGGTCACGGGGGAGACTGAGATGTTCAACGTCCAGATGTCATAGTTAACTATGACATCTGGACGCTGAACATCTCAGTCCCCCCCCCCCCCGTGGCTATGGATACTGTAAAGCGCCCGAAACGTCAGGTATTTAAAAAGTTAAATATACGCGATAAATTCCGTAAAAACTAGTATTATTTAAATGTGTAGTGTTCGCGTAAATATAAGAAATCATTATTCAATAATCCTTTTACAAATGAGGGGTCTGTAGACAGCCAAGTTATGTATTAGCTTTTGCCTTTTTTGTGATTTTGATCAAGTGCAATATTTATTGAAACAAACTGGAAATTGAAACAAAATGTATAATAATAATAATGAAACTCCACTTACTTAGAAAAAAGTTCTATGTTGAAAAATACGTATTCTCCTGATGATACCATATTGAGTTCGTCAGCCGCTAACATAATTTCTCTGACTGTACTCGGATTTGCGCAGACTACAACAACTGAAACAATATAAAAATAAATCTATCGTTCGGTTAACTTCCATACAGATTTAAACTACGTATTACAGCTAGATTAAAAAGAGATATTGCAGACAACTGTTTTATTAAATTCATGATTACAAGTTAAGTTAATATTTAATTTAAAGTGCCGTTAGACGACACAGAAAAACTAAAACGGGAAATAGGAAAAAGCATATTCCTGGTAACAGTTCAAAATAATAAAAATCTGCGGCTACCTATCCGTCTGCTAACGAGGCATCTATCGCAAACATCCCCTTTACGAGGCAATCCATGAGGTCTATGTTCAGTAATAAACTATTGATAGGCTGTCTTGAATGATGAATGAATGAATAATATTACCAACAATAGATTATTTTAGTATAGCATACAATCAAACAAACTATTAAAATATATTTTACTATATCCAATAAATATATAAATAGATCGACATGCCACGCATTCAAATAAAACGATTAGCTTCGTCGCTCGTTATGTGTCGGCTTGTCATGTCGACAACAAAGAATGGAGAGACCCGTCCTACATCTTTTTGTTCGATGGTGGAAGAGGTCCCCTAACTACTTAAAGTAATATAACTCCTGCACAAACCGTTCAATTGACATTCTGTAGAATACATAGGGTTTGGTTCCTCTACCCCTGACCTCGTAAATACTGACAGGATTGGATTTAGCCAAAAATAAAAAATAAAACAATCTATCTAGGTACTTATAACACAAAAAATGTTTACCATCCATCCGATTTTGATGATTTTTTTGTATTTGAATGTATCCTTAAATTGTTTATATTCACATTTGGGCCTGGTAGGTGACGCTGTTGTCGAGATCCAGAAGTAACCAGATCGCTAGTAGAGTATAGAATAGTAAAAAATACAAATGGAGTACATAATTTACTAGCGCTTACATTTCTACTAGCATCGTAAGTAAATAAGATTTTGTCACCTAAGGTAGTGCAAAGCGCACTGTCCATCGCAATTTTTAGCAATAATATGTAGGATAGTAGTCAGGCACTGGCAATTAAATTAAAAAAAAAACCTATTCTCATAAAAATAAAAATTCATTCTTCGTAGCAAAATATGAGTAAGCATTAAAATTGTACCTCTAAACTCAGTGTAACAAAACAAAAAGCATAACAAAGTTAAGGCATATTCTGTGATTAAGGTAAAGTTTTTATTGTAACAATCCACAATGAACGCACAAACAAAAGAGAAATCTTAACAAATATGTTGATGTGTAACCTAACAATATGTGCAAAAATGGATATGGCACATGAAATAAAAGTTGTTTTATTAATTTGACTAACATCAAGTTTGTCAAATTAATAAAACAAATTTGTCACTAACATCATAACTATTAAAGGTTAGAATAGAACTAAGTCATCCTTATAAACGAGGTTCACAGTCAAACATAATTTGATAATGTGAAATAAAAACGCTTACATCTATCCTAAAGCATACATTACACGCTCATGCATACGTCAATCAATTCCATCAATCATGATTGGTAAAAAACGGATAGTGACTGATATACGCCTGCATGAGCGCGTAATGTACGCCACATTACGCGCTCATGCAGGCGTCAATCACTGCATTACACGGTAGGTTATTCGTCATTCGCAACCGTGATTGTTGTAAAACTGACAGCCTGCATAAGCGCGTAATATACGCCTCATTAAAGCCAGGCCTCTGTCATCTGTCACTCTACCTGCGTCCTCACGAACCTCAGGTTCCATACGCAGTCAGGACTGGCGCGTTTTGGGCGATTGACGTACTAGTGAATAACACTGTTTACGTAAATAATTTTTTGTATACACTTGTATTAATATTTTTGTTGGGATAAAATAGTTATATAAGTATTAATTCAATTGATATGTTTATTTATATATTTATTATTGAAATTTTTTTAAAAAACATAATAATGGAAAACCTGCAAATAATTTACTAAAATCATTAAATAATATTAATTTTATCACTCCGTGTCAATATTTTTCCTCCCATTATTTCGATCGAAGTTTCATACTTAACGAAGTTTACTAATTAACAAGTTTTTTAATTTGAATCCAGGAAAAAAGCACTTTTTATATTGTAAAATTGTTAATGTCTAAACTAGTGATTATATGATAAATATTTTTTATTTTAAATTCGAATAAATAAACATATACCTTTTCAGTTACAAGAATAAAAATATTAGTAATAAAGAGGTGTATAATTAATATGATTTATAGATTAAATTTACGTATTTTATTTGAATGCAAAAGCAGGATGAAAAAATTATAACCAATTCGTGTTTTAAAAATATTTTTCATCTTCTTAAATGTCTAGAAACAAAAAAGCAGTCCGAACATTATTTCCAAATTGCAGTTTTATTATGCAACCACGCAGTATTGTGGGTATTTACTAATGGGATAAGTAATCTGTCCCTTTCTAATTGAACAAGGAATTGAAACCCTTACTGGATAATACTGCAGTAAAATTTTTATTAAGTAATTGTCTTGGTTAAATAAACAAAAATGAACGTAATAGGCCGTAGACACCTTTCAATACGTGGAGACTATAGGTATATACATAAGAAGGTTGATAACGTTTCTTAACTTCCTTACAATTTGCAAATCTTGCTAAAAACAAAACACCGAAAATATATGTAATTAATGATAACAATCTTAATTTTTGCAGATATAATAAATTTATGGATATATGACTTTTATTTACTTTATTCTATGATCATATTTTGACTTGATTGTTGACTATTTTATTTGGATAATTACTGAGTTAAGTATCGCATTGTTTGCCAACTGATATAATACTTACTCAGCTACCTTTCTAATGTGTGCGGAAATTAACTTTTTTGTGTTTACAATTGAGAATTCATTACAGTAATCACAAAAAATGACAAAAAATAAAACATGGTCGTTCGCTTGACGTTATTCATGTCACATACTCACTTCTCGTGCTCAACGAGAGTTTCTGTAGCAATTTTTTGAATACGGTCGAATTGGTAACAGTCTCATCAAATGGTATATTTGGTATCGAGGAGCCGGTGTTCTTTTTCAACAGAACCGAAAATACTGCACTGAGTGTCAGGTAACATGGACTATTGCCTTTTCCCGTTGCTGGATTATTGTTGTGGTACAGCATCCCAAGTTTGCGCCAATTGAATTCCTGTAACAATAAGAACGAAATTAGTTACATCCAAACTTATCAAAATAAAAATTAAATACATCACAGCACGATTGGATTGTCTTTTGATTTCCAAATTCAATTGACACAGGGCGATGGAAATTTCACCCTCAGTTGATAGTAAATTAGAAATTATTGTAACATAGTTGTAGAATGTTGTGGTTGTATGACATTAGGATGTTAGGCTAATGGATGAAAAGACTTTATTAATAATGTTTTTTTTTAAGTTAACTGATACTGTCCATATAAACTATTAAAATTTATTATAGACTAATAGATCCTTCTTAAATTATTTTTTATAGGATAATGGTGACAAACGAGCACACATTCCACCTGATGGTAAGTAGATGCTGTGGCCCATTAACATCTACATCTACCCTCAAATACGAATCAAATTGCAAATGCGTTGTCACCCGTGAGGACTAAGATGGATTGTCTTATTTCTAGTAAAACGAGTCTCCCAATATACGGAAAACAGCAGCGTTAAGTTGCCATCTTAAGCTGATATGTATATACAATCATTCAAAAATTCTTCTGTAAATAATATTGTACAAATTTTTATTAAATATATAATTATTAATGTTCTAAAGATTAAAATCAATGAGTGCAAGCTGATCATAATCATAAACACAAATACAACAAAGCAAAACAAATAAATAGCTTAAGAAACAATTAAAATTAAACAAGCCAAAAGTACTCGTATTTTTTGGATTAATAAAGTTTAAAAAGTGTTTAAGAATTAACTAGCTAAATGATTTTTTTTTCTAACAGATGGTATATTGTGTTTCAAGCACAGCGACAATTTCCGGCGATTAGTTGAAAACTATCAAATGCACAGATGATGCGCAGATGTAATATTATGTATCTAAAGGTAACTATAGTAACCTTATGGTTTACATAATGATTTCTTATATTTACGCGAACACTACACATGATTAAAACTGCTTTTACGGATTTTATCGCGTTTATTTTTGCTTTTAATTACTTTTATTTTTAATTCCCGACGTTTCGGGCGCTTTCCAGCACCCATGGTCACGGGGGACTGAGATGACTGACGTCCCGATGTCATTGTTAAACCCGGAGTACCTTCAGCTTTTTTAATTATTGTTTATGGATATTATAATATATATATTATGAAACGTCGGGAATTAAAAATAAAAGTAATTAAAAGCAAAAATAAACGCGATAAAATCCGTAAAAGCAGTTTTAACCTTATGGTTTATTAGACTTTATTAAATAGGCAGTTAAGTATAGGTAAAATCTCCCAACATAATTTTAAGCTTTGTTGAAATATGTAATCAAAATTTTAGAATAAAATATAATTGGAATTATTTTCAAGAGCAAATTACAAGCAAATTAACAATCATAGGGTTTTTTCTGAAAATAAATTTTCAAAAAAACATTCAAGACTCGACACCCTCCTTTTAATTTTAAATAACCTTTTAAGTTTGTGAAAGTGTAACATTTGTCGTTTTACTTGAAATTGAGTTCGCGTTTTGAGTGCGAAATCTTTTTAACCGATTTCGAAAGGGAGGAGGGAAAACTGAAAACTTGCAAAAATCGGGAAGTTACTTTTTTTACCCCGTTTTTCAAAAATTGAGTTTTCATCAAATCTTGACGTGAATTAGTTGAAATTCATTCATTCATTTTGAGAAATCTCAAAAATAAAAATTTTGAAAAACTGTTCTTTAAATTTTTTTTAAACGGCTTTACCGACCGATTCCAAAAACTCATCAGCTTCTAACCTTGAAAAATTACGTCGGTCCGGTCAAAATCGGTTGATTCGTTCATGAGTTATCGTTAACGAAAGTTTTTGAAAAAAAAAAAAGATTTTCTTAATTACTCCGGTATTTCATATTGAACGTCATGATTTGGTGAAACTTAGAGCGATTTGCATTTTAAATTATCGGGAAGTTGCAGGGATGGCCTGCAGGGTCAACCATTTATTTATATAACCTCAGAAGTTATTTCTGGGTTTATTTTTTATTAGAAATCTGGTGCTTCTCGTGTGATTCTATATAAATTTGATCATCATTTAACAAGTACTTTTTGAGTTATCATTAATAGGGCGTATTTAATTGACTTGATATACATTGATGATGTTCTCATTTTATTTATATTGAAGTCGGTTCTACAAATTTTTCTATTTTACCACTTGTTGAAGAATAATCACTTGAGGAATTTTTCCATTACGTTTTATTAATAACATGTCGACACATTTTTATAGGAATTTAACAAACTTTTTTTATTATAATTTTGATCCCTAGATTAAGAACCAAAATAAAGATGCGTTGTCACCTCTAAGGATAAAGATGGAATGCCACGTTATTCTTAAATGATCTCCAGTTCTCTACGATGATTATGCAAAACACAGCAACGTTATGTTGCCATTTTTAGTATTCTATTGGAGCATGGTCCTTCGTCGATCGAGCCAATCCATATGTGCCACAGCCATTATAAAGCTGCGGCATAGCCACGCTATAGTAATGATCATAATATGATGAATAAATACTGAAATAGAGGAAAACGGAGATGGGCAGCAGTGTCTTCCTAATAACATCTAGAAAATTAAAACTGCTGTTGGTGAGCCGCACGCCAAGCGTGGCAACTTTAGCAAATATCGTTGCTATGAGGAAATGTAGATAGGCTACAATGATGATAATGATGATGCTGATGAATATGAATCCATTTAAGAATCAAGAAGCTGCCGTGACCCTAAGCCCGTGTATAATATAATGTCTCAGAATGCTGGCTTTGGAGCATCAACCATAGACGCATTGTAAGATGATTTGTCAATAATGTAACAAGCAAAATATTTTGACATTTGATGTATGTTATAGGTGACGGTCTTTAAAAGTGTCCTGCAATTTTCTGCTGTAAATATAAGATACTGTTAACCATTACAGTCTATTAAAATAAACTGCTTTGCCTCATACACCCTTGTTACTTTCCGTTTTTGTTTTATTAGATTTCATATGCCAGAATTAGTGTCGTACTTTCAATTTACATCATACTCAAAAACATTGATTGTACATTAATAACTGAACCATAAAATCTTCTAGAAGTCAAAACAGTACAATACAAAAAATTAAACAGTCACTATGGTTACAGTTTCACTTAGCATACAGATCAAGTAGACGGTTGAGCGGAAAGATTTAGGAATTATTATTTTTTTTCCTTATTTTGTAATGTACAGAATTTGAAAAATATAAGCTTATTTAATTTAAAGTCGCACAGGTTATAAAATTATATAATTAAATAATACTTTTAATTTCAATGGCTGGATATGCTAGAATAATTATAAAAATAATTCAGATATTATAATTGCTTTACCACCACCGCTGGTGGTTTTGTGGTATTAAAAGTGAAATAAAGTAATTTCTTTATAATACAAACATTATTTTTCTTCACAATAAGCAAAGCAACAGATACGATCATATAAATAAAACACATGAAATATGAAAAAACTTATTTTGAAACAAAAATTTAACAGTTAAACAATAAACACAATACAACATTTAATACATAAAATCACAAAGACGATAAATTACCTCGAAAACTTTTCTAATGGCTACACCTGCTTGTGTGTAACTTCCCATCATCCTCGTAAGGGTCAAGTAACTTGGATGCTTATATCCAAAAGCTTCGGCTTGGGCTCCTGCTGTCAAAACTGGTATACGCCATGGACCAGCGTATCTGGCTACCGGCGCTATGACATATTCGCATCCTGGTCCAATAAAAGCATCTACAAATAAATTGAAAATGTGAAAATATATTAATTAAATTTGACAAAACTACAATAATTATTAAAGCAGTGTTAATATTAACATACTACTTACCAGCCGATCCATTAATATAAAACTCAAAAGCTGCTAAAGGTCCATCGACAGAAGAACACCTTGTATCTCTGTAATCTACTAAAATTTTCCAATCAGGCAAAGGCCCATCGCTTTTGGTTACTGCTACAGCAGCCATTTCTATAATGGGTAATACTTTAGACAGTGAGAAAACTTGCATTGGATCTGCTGACAGGAGAACTCCAAATTTCACAATTTTGTCTTTAAATTGATGTCTTTCCGGTCTGAGATTAAAGTTTGTTCTCTTAACATAATAGGGACTAGTAGCTAAGTCATGGGGGTAACCAATAGCTCGAGCATCATTATAAATGTCATTTAATACTAATACATTTTTAGGATATTCAGTAACATTCGATAGTTCCTCCTTATTTTTGAAATAATTGTAATATTTAATGAAGTCTTGGGAACCCCCAGGATATTTTTCGGATTTATCTTCTTCTGATTGTTCATATGAAGAAGCACGTCCTTTTCGCATATTATTTACATTTATTTTAGGTTTCATATAGTCATGTTCAAACTTCGATTTTTCTAGGCTAAATGCATTCCTTGTTGGCGATTCATAAATATCTTTTACCTTTTTTATATTTATATTATTAATACTAACATCACACAAAATTATCACATTGAAAACACAAATATAGACAATGAGGAATGACAGTAATAGCGGAACTTTTATTTCCTTTACGGATTTATCTCTATAATTTTTAATCTCGTGTGTTTCAGTATCATCCAGATATTTACTGAATTGTCCAGTGGCATAATATTTTTCATTGTAATCTTCCCTTGTTCGTCTTTTTTTGAAATTTGCTCGACTTGAATACGGTCTTTTTGTGCTTCTAAAAGTCTCAACATTTTTCTTCGGAAGAATCGTAAAAACGACCTCCTTCATCATTTTACCACTGCAATTTATCTCATTTTCTTGAATCAATTAAGCCTACAGAATATTTTCAAAGTTACGTTAGAATGAGCATTGAAAATATTGGGTAAGATGCAATGATCGTTATTATAGAAATAAATATCAAGTTCAAAGAGTAATTCAAATATGACTATAGCATACTTATATAAATATAGAGAGAACCTTCATAATATGCCATAATTATTCTACTAAGACATATAGAATGTTTTTTGGCGCCTTATCTGCTTGTAGATTTTAATTGCTAAAATGACGTTACTTGGCAATAAACACTGTCATCAAAATTGTAGTATTAGTATTTAGGCATATATTATAAAAAGCTAGTTCAGTTGAGGTTATTCTTGCTTTTCCGGTAGGTAGTATAATGAGTTTTAATCCAAATTCTTTGCAGACTATTTACCACTTAAATCTTTTTATATAAACTCGACCACAGCGCTATCTATCGATCCAAATTTTGAGATTTTTCTTTGGTACTGAACGTATTATATTGTGAATATAGAGTCATTTTGGTACATAAATATAGCTATGAACTTTTGTCTCAACGGAACAAATATACCTATTGTGTGAATATAACCTGTATCGGTCAAGTTAACGAATTGAGAATTTACGCTATACCTAAGAGTCACACTAACTGTTAAATATATAAAATGGAGAAGATTTTTTCTTGAACATTTTACGAATGAAACTTTAGACTTTCTAGACTTTAAACATGTTGAAACTCCGTAAAACAACCGTAAAAGAATTTCTAGCGATACTTTACACTTTAGCTTTCAAGTACACGGGTAATTCACAGAATTTTGTTAGTACGCTTCTTCTTTTATTATTTAAGAGATAGTAAAAGAACTTGTGAACGTTTAAAATAGGGTTTATTTTCTTTTTTCAGGGATGTCGCGATTCAAGTGTCTCGTAAATCGAGAAAAACTTGATCCGAATCACCACAACTGCCATCCGGAGATGGATTTGAAACCGTAGTACCAGACTCTTTGCATCTTCAAAATACTTAACAATACATTTATTGTAATATTAACTTAAAATTTTAAATTTTTAAATAATTTACTATATATTATTTTAAACACTAGATTTTTCTTTTTTCATTTTTGACCAACTTTTATGACGCTAGCATGATCTTTTTAGTGTATACACACAGTTGGTGAGTTAATTCCTTGCTCGCTTTTTTTTAACCTCTCAAACGGCAAGCGTCCAAATTTGACCGCTTCGATATTCCGTCAAAATTCAAGAGGTCTAATGTGACCGCATCCACCCACAACACTTGAACCCATAAATACTTATGTTTGTAGACTACTTTTCTATGAAGTAGTTTGACATTATAGGATCAAAATAAAATTTTCTATCCTCCAGTAGAAGAAAAAGTCACTTAGTCTATGGATATTTATTTATAATCTACGTTCATTTCGTACGCCATTTTCGTGTGAATTTTATTGTGTTGATTTTTGGATTTTTCTAGTGTTTTATTAGTGTTTTAGTATGGTGTTTTATTATAAAATTATAATGAAAGTTTTTGTGTGAATATAATTTATCTTTTTACGTAAATAATTTAAGTAACATATAGAAATAATTGATGATTTTCACGCTGCCAACATCCTCTCGGTATGTTTTTTTTTGTTATCAAAATACAATAAAATCTTTTTGTATTGAAGTAAAACCTGACTTCTGTTTGGACCACAGGATAGAAAATTTTGTATAGATTTTATAATGCCAAACTTCTTCATAGAAAAGTAGTCTCTAAATATAAGTTTTAATGGTTTAAAGTATTGTGGGTGGATGCGGTCGCATGCGACCGCTCGGAATTTGCTGGACACATGCGACTGCATGGGATTTTTATGGGGATTGAAGGGTTAATAGACACCTGCATTTATCTTTGATTAAAAATCTAATGCTAGCATAGTCCTTTCCAGATCGAGTGCACCCATTCGTACTGCAGCCTGTCTCTAACACGTTATGAAATGGAATGAAAGGTCATTTTAAGTAACAACCAAAAGATAACTTACTTAGTATATACTTTTTAATTAAAAACTGTAAACGTTTGTAAACTCAAACATTTAATTCATCAGTGTACAGGATTGAGGTAACATTTTTTTAAGTTAATTTATATACTTACGCGTGGAAACTAGCATGTAGGTATATTAATTATTTAACTTTATAAAACAAAGCCGCTACCAAACTGCTAAATATGCAAAATAGTTTTGATTTGAGCGATATCAAGAACATTTTACATGGGGATAGAATGCAGATAATTTATATTTTGTAATAATTTCATAAATATAGTTCGTTTTCTTCTTCAGTCCTTGAAAGTTAACAGCTGGTCATAGGAATCTGCTTTTGTACGATTTGACGCTACTTCTCGTCCCTAGGGTGTATAGGGGCGCAGCCGCCATCTGGCACCAACGACATGATTTTATCGGCATCTATCAAAAGTTGTGTAATCTTTGTGAAATTTATCATAACCACGTCTAACGACAACCATGGGAGGAAATTGTTGATGGATTCTCTCACTTGCCAAAGAAAAGATCAAATTTTAAAAATTAATATATTATACTAAAACTCACTCATTTAAACAAAATGAACAACGAACACTATACATTTAAATAAAACTAGTTTTTACGAATTCCATAGCGTATGTTAACTTTTTTATGTTCGCGATGTTTCGAGCACTTTATAAATAATTATATTAATAATAATTTTAATTTAGAGGTAGCCGTGGTTAACTGTGATATTGGGACGTCGAACACCTCAGTAGTGACCATGGGTGATGTAAAGTGCTCGAAACGTCGAGAATATAAAATAAGTTAGTATACGAGTATACTTTGGAATCAGTAAAAACTAGTTTTATTTAAAAATTAACATCATCAATAGTCAACTAAAGATAGATGTAAAAACTAACGAGAAGGATTACAGAAGTGATTTTCGATTGGAACTAACTCAGAATAATTATTCATCTCATCATTTACGTGTCATTTTGTCAAGGCCTTCACGACATATTTGGGTCACACAAGTACCATTTTTCATCTCATCATTTACGTGTCATTTTGTCAAGTCCTTCACGAAAGTACCATATGGTCACATAAGCGAAGTACCATTATTCATCTCATCATTTATGTGTCATTTTGTCAAGTCCTTCACGACATATTTGGGTTACACAAGTACCATTATTCATCTCATCATTTACGTGTCATTTTGTCAAGTCCTTCACGACATATTTGGGTCACACAAGTACCACTATTCGTCTCATCATTTACGTGTTATTTTGTCAAGTCCTTCGCGACATATTTGGGTCACACAAGTACCATTACATATTCAATTTGTACTTTGTACTCATCCAAAAATGTGTTGCATACCTTGCGGTGGTGGATGCTGTGATGCGTGAAGCGGACCCTGTTGTCCATGAATCACTATACATATTACAAGTGATGTATGAAGATTTGTTAAAAATCAGTTGTCTGCAACACTTTGTCTGACCATTTATTTGAATTGGTGCCGTTACGTGAAATAAATATGTATGTATAAAAACACACATACATACAATATTTTTTGTACCACAGACAATCGGATTGCGACGATAAATATTGTACTTTATATATAATAATAAGTATTGCAGAAATTAATAAAACATAAGACTTATTCATAAGTATTTCCTATTAATATTAAATCGGTTTACGTCATGTGTCAGTGTGGTATAAAAATAGTAAACTTGATTTGAAGCAGGCAAGTCGCGTGACCTTAAGAGGTCGACAGTAAAGTCAAGGGTTTTCAATAAAGTTTTTTTTAAATAGCCTACATAAGTGAAACGTATTTACTTATCGTTTTATAATATATATACGACATAGTAACTTATAAACTTGTTATCTATTTTTACTAAACAGCTCAAGCGCTATTTATTTTAATATATTTCTCAAAATTCAATTATTTAATAACGATAAGTAAAAAAGTGAAACAACAATCGACGTACGTCCAATTGCTAGACGCAGAAGGTTTTAAACTATAAGAGGGTTTTGCGCTGCCTCAATTCATTTTGACGGACTTCATAATTTATACTCGAGCTATAAATTTTAGCCGCGCACGTGCTAAATAAGCGCCTAAATTAGCAATTAATTATTTCATCTGTGCTGGCGGACTTCAAATCCGGTTTTCCCGTAAAATGTAATAATATCTAATATATATATATATACATAAAAATATATATATATATATATATATATATATATATAAATATGCTGTTGGTTTAGATGGATGTACGCCAATCGTTCGGTCTCAATTTTAACATACATGTCAATTGCAAACTGATGAAAGAGCTGTTGACACATCAAAATATGATTTACTTCACCGTCATGGATCATGATTCTATATAAATTAAAATTCATAGAACTAACTTTTTTGTTGGTATCAGCACCTAGAAACGTAAATTAAATTGATTCAATTACATAGATATATTGAATTTTAAAAATTTAATCTCATTGAGATATACAACAATATAATAATGTGTAATAGTGTAATATATAAATTAAAATCTGGTTACCTGTTACTTGATCAACATTTTGATATTA